TGTATGTGGGCGCTGCGCAGAGGCCCACCGCACCTCGGACTGTCCAGTAACGGATTCGGGCACATTCAAGTGCTCGAACTGCAAGGTAAGCGGGCATGGAGCGGTAGACCGCTCGTGCCCTTTCTTCTGGAATGAACAGGAAAAGAGGAGAGCATGGGACCCGAGTGCAGGTTACTGTTACTTCCCCACGAGCGATCCGCGGACGTGGGCAGCTTCGAGCGTGGATATGGGGATGCGTGGCAGAGGAGCTCAGACGGAAAGCGAGCGGCAGGGACACGGGCGACTCGTGGGTGGCCACGCGGGGCAAGGCAGGGGAGCACCAGTGGACAACAGTTGGGAGGCGGCTCGAGCGCGGAGAGCGGCGTTAACAGTGACCCCGCCTGATCGGAATCGCTGGGCGGTGGATGGGCGATTCCAGCCCGCGATAGGGGATGCTTTCACAAGGCAGACGGCGAGCCTATCGCAGAGCCAGAGGAGGGCTGCTGCGGGTAGTGGAACACTGGGTACGACACCGGGGGCGCTGTCGCCGCTGAGGCAGATGGTGAATGCAGATGGGGTGTATGGTCCGGAACGTGGTGGACCAAGTAGTGGGGGTCGGGCGTGGTCGGAGCCAGAGGAGGGGGAGGTACCGCAGGCGAGCGGTGAGGACGCGATTCAGGACCCGGCCGAATCCGTGGACGGGGCGCGATGAACCCACACGAGGGGGGAGATCCGCCACCACGGAAGCTGAAGTTGTGGCAGCAGAACCTGGATCGGAGCCTGGACAATCAGCACGAGCTGTTGCAGATGATGGGGAAGGATACATACCATATTGCGGCGCTTCAGGAGCCGTACATTGGGCCAGGGAACAGGACCCGGGGGAACTCGCACTGGAGAGTGGTGTATCCTACGCAGCACGGGGGTGAGGGGAAGAGGACGAGGGCGGCGACATTGGTGAACACCTTGCTGCTGACAGACGCATGGTCGGAGTTGCACGTCCCCTCGCCGGGCGTAGTGGCGATTGAGCTGTGGGGAGACTCGGCACGCTGCGAGTTGTCAACATCTATAATGACGGTGGCAACAACGACACGCTCATGGTGTTGCGGGATTTCATGCGAGCGCAGGCGCCGGGCCACGGACACACGTTCTATGTTTGGCTAGGCGATTTTAATCGGCATAGTCCAATGTGGGACGAGTTCAGGAATGCGCACCTGTTCACGCCGGAGGCGGAGGAGGCGGTCTTCCCACTACCGCAGCTACTGGGGCGCTATCGGATGGAGATGCCGCTGCTGAAAGACGTCCCGACGCTGCGTGCGAAGGGCATGGGGAATTTGACGCGCCCGGATAACATATTCTGCAGCAGAGACTTTCTGGAGTACTTCATCTCCTGCGACGCTTTCCCGGCGCGTACACCGGGTAGGTCCGACCATTTTGCGATCATCATGGAGATCGATTTGGTACCGCCGAGGAAGGTGGTGAAGGAGAGGTTGAATTGGAGGGAAACGGACTGGGAACAGTTTGGGAAGGAGCTGAGAGGCGAGTTGGAGGGGATGGAAGAGGTTGAGGGGTATGCGAGTGTGGAGGAGGTAGAGGGTGCGATTGAAGCCCTGGACGCTGCATTGTGGAGGTGCGTCGCCAAGCAGGTCAAAACCAGCAAAGTCAGCCCGCATTCCAAGCGCTGGTGGACGAGCGAGCTCTCGGACTTCAGGCAGCAGAAGGAGAAACTGTCGCGCAAATCTCACCGGCAGCGTGATGTGCCCGACGCGCCTGTCCATGAGGAGTTCCAGAGGGCGTGGAACGATTTCTCTGCGATGCTGAAGAGGGCTCAGGACAAGTGCAGGGTGGAGTGGTTGGAGGATGTCGATGGGAGTGACGTGTGGGCAGTGGGGAGGATGATGAAGGCAGGGCCGTCGGACGGGGGACGGGTGAGAGTGCCGGATTTGCGGAGGGTGGTGGATGGAAGAGAGGAGGTGGCGACAACGAACGCGAGGAAGAGCGAGTGGATGGTGAGAGAGTTCTACCTGCCACGAAGTGCGGGCGCGACAGACCCTCCAGACGACGTCATCTACCCGGAGCCGCTCTACCAATACGAGTCGCTGAGTGAGGGGCAGCTACACCAGGTCATAGCAAAAATGAAGCCTTGGAAGGCCACGCGCAGCAAGACATTCCCGAATTGCGTATACAAATTCAATGCGGCGCTGCTAGTCCCTCGGCTACAGAAGATATATCGCGCATTAGACGTGCATCGACACGAGCCAGAGGATTGGAAACATACCGAGACTATTGTTGGGCGGAAACCCAGGAAACCCGATTACTCGGCAGTAGGTGCGCACCGCCCACTCATCTTGTCGCACGGGCACGCTCGTTTGCGGAATGCGGCGAAGAATCTACAGCTGATGACGAACGCGGAGTACTTGGGCATGTTACCGAAGAACCATTGGGGGGGGCGACTGGGGAGGACAGGAGTGGACATAGTGCAGTGGCTGGTGAAGAGGATAAAGGATGCGTGGCGGGGGAAGGTGGCGACATTGTTGGTGCGGGACGTGAAGGGTGCGTTTCCAAGCGCGATGCTCTCCCGGGTTGTCCACAACATGCAAATGGCCGGAGTACCGGAGGAACACACCGAGTGGGTGATGAGGCGGTTCACGGGGAGGACAACACGCCTTGTCTTCGACAACTACGTCTCCGAGGCGTTCGAGATCTGGGATGTATTGGATCAGGGAGATCCACAGTCGGTGGGGTTATACAAATTCTTCAACTCCCCGCTGGTACGGCGACTGTACCTTGCCATTTGTATGCCAAGGATGATGGATGCAGCGGAAGTGTGGTTGGCGTTGACGAGACAGAGGGCGACGGGGAGGAACAGGAGGGGAGACGGGCGAGCGGCGGTGAAGAAGCTAGGTTCAATTCAGCTCAAGGCAGCCAGGCTTATACTGGGAGGGATGAACTCCTCGCCAGGAGACTTACTCGATGCGCACGCGGACCTCCCACCTATCCATTTGGCCATCGACAAACTGTTACAGAAGGCAGCGGTCCGATATGCGACACTACCGAAGACACCCCCTGTACGAGCAAGTCCGTAACATGGTGCGGTTTGGACATGTCAAGAAGCACCCGTCCCCGCTGCACTACCTGATGACGGTGTACAGAGACGTGCGGCAGGGGAAGGTGGAAGTGATATGGCCAGTGAGGAGGAAGGCAGGGTGGGAGGCGCCGGTGGAAGTGCACGTGGCCGACTCTAAGGAGAAGGCGAAGGAGGAAGCAATGGCAGAATTGTCGAGGGTGCAGCTGTTCTCGGATGGCTCGCTCATCGATGGCAAAGTTGGTGCCGCGGGGGTGCTGATGGTAGATGGGGTGGTGAAGCGGCAGAAGGGCACGCAGTTGGGGTCGGCGAAGCGGTACAGGGTGTACGAGGCGGAGGGAGTTGGGGAGGTTCTGGCGGTCGAATGTCTGCAGGAGGAGATGGACAAGGAGGTCACAGGGTGGATACCATTGGGTCTGGACAACACATCGGCACTGCGCTCGACAGCAGACACGAAGACTGGGACGGGACGCTACATATGGGATTTATTCCATCGGACACTGCAGAAGGCGAAGAACACTCACCAGAACTTTCAATTGCAGCTAGTTTGGACGCCAGGTCACATTGACATTCCAGGGAACGAGGCAGCTGACGAGGCAGCCAAGCGCACGGCACTGGAAGGCTCCTTCGCAGGGGCCACCGTGGTCCCGTCGAATTTGCCCTACAGCAAGTCGGCCTTGGTGCTGGTGCACGCTCGACTCCTGCAGGAAGCGACAGGGAAAGACCTCAAGCGATCTCCGCGTTATCACCGCATCAAAAATATCGATGACAGCCTTCCATCTGCCAAGTTCAGGAAACTCGTCGCCGACCTGCCCTGCAAGCATGCCTCCCTCCTCTTCCAACTTCGCTCCCAACACGCTCCGCTCGCGCGACACTTACATCGTCTCAAGAAAGCCCCATCCGCCAACTGCCCCTGTTGCGAAACTGCGGATGAGACGGTGTCTCACTACCTCTATTTCTGCTCGGCCCATGAGGGTGCCAGAGAAGCATTATACACGGCCAGCCGAAAGAACCAGTACCAGAAGCATCTTCTGAATGATCCCCAACACCTCCCCGACCTTCCATTCAGTCTTTGGTGATTTCAAGCCAATAGAACCCCCCGACAAGTAGATTCCATCCAGTTTCTTTTTCTCTTTACTTACTTTTACGACACACACTCACGACCTCCCCATGATGTATCTCCTTACTGGCTCAGCCAGGCCGCAGAATTCCTGCTTCGCGTGTCACCCCGTCGCGACACGCAAAGTTTCCAGACTGCATGATTACACTTACTTAGCAAGACTCGGACCAGTTACAATTATCGGACAGTGCTACATCTACCATATGCCCTAGGCACAAAGGATGTAAAACAAAGATACAGAAAGAAAAAAAAAAAAAAAACATGTGACCCAAACCCCAAATTCAACACAACAGGTACCCCCATGAAGCATGACTGTCGAATTGATTGAAATGGTCCAGTGCTGCCAACAAGACCTTGAAGGAAAACCATGGTCCCAGGATGGCAGATGCACATCGCGATGTTGAACACTTCCAGGAACTGGATAAGAAGTACAATGCAGAGGGGAGTAACATCATAGACATAGTGTATGTGCACCAGGAGAACGATAGGGCAAGAGGTGAGTATTCTTTGCATGTGACCAGAAAATGATGCACTGGATGCGCAGAGAAACTTGTTGTGCAGGCCAAAAAAACTTGCAGCTCAGCAGAAGCTCAATACAGAACTGATGCAGGAGCTGGAGGCCTCCAGAGCACACTCAGAGCAAAATGTTTGAGGTCACCAATCCTGTATCAGGTGATCACAGGGAAGAATCCATGGGCACCAACAGTGGTCCACAAAGTGCAATAGCAGGTGAGTTTTGTGCTGAGCATGGATATAACACCTTCACTCACTGATTCTGCAGTCAAAACACATTAGGAAAAGAGAGGGCTGAAAACGCAGAGCTTAAGAAGCATTGGGGTTTGAACCTGTGTCACTAACACTCTAGGGTAGCGCTCCAACCAACTGAGCTACTAAGCCATTGGCAGAGTTGGACAGTTTAGTCCCTTACACAATGTGGATGATTAGTCTCACAACGGTGGATGGTCAGTCACACCGGGTTCGGTTGCCACCTCGAACACTACTCCAACTACTTCTCTTCCATTCAGACCCTATTCCCAGATGTTAATGTTCTCCCAACACACCACAATTTGATGCACATCTTGGATATTCTCAGAAACTGGGGACCTCTGGCAAGCCAAAACGAGTTTATGGGTGAACCTGTCAATGGCATTTTACAGAAAATCAACACCAATGACCACTTTTGTAAGCTTTGGCCACAGATTTCTACCGAATCTCTCACTCACCAATTTTAGATGATATGGACTATACCAGGCTCAGACACTTTGCTTGTCTTGGGCAGTTACTTGGGAGCAAACATGACAAGCACCTGCAGGATGCCAAAAATGCAGCATTGCAAGGCCTTGACAACATTCTAGATCCTGCAGATCCCAAGACACTCCAAACACCCACTGAGCTAGATGAGGAACATTTAGCTAAATTCCTGGCCAAGAAAAGCCGCTGTACACCTTGATCCTTGAGTATCTGGCTTCAGTTAGGGAGCACAAGCTCAATTTTTATGGCACTCACGATGAAGCTGGGACAATAACTCTTCCCAATCCAGATCATTGGTCTATGATACTGCCACCCCAAGGCAAACGGTGCCTGAAATTCCATGTGGACAAGTGCTCACATAGCTGCTCCTCTTTGGATGCAGCACAAAGCTTGATTCAAATCTACAAGCCAGGAACAGACCCAAAACAAAACCAGACCTCTACAGGGGTTATCACAGCCATTTTGCTGATCCCACTCGACAATATTCTCAGAACTTTTGTTGTTGTTCACAAACATCGACCTCTGCCCATCTAGTTCTATGCAGATCATCCAGAATTAATGACTGCAGCTGTGGATTCACAGCCAGAGCATAATGGGATGGTGATTGAACCCCACCATGTCATCACACATTTGACCATGTGGAAACAGCCTGCAGACATTTATGACACCAAGAAACCTGTTTTAAAAGTCTGTTGGGTGCTGAATCAAGGCTGTCGATATATACCCGCTCCTTTGGAGACCCTATCTAATTTCTTTTTCCTATTATTGTCCAAGTCATTTCCCCCACCTCTTTGTGTAGCAGCAACTCCTGTAAAATCCCACCTGAATTTGATTTTCCTTGCTGTATTGCTCATCCACAGAAATGGCAATGAGATTCTGTCTGCAAGCCCTTCTATGGAGAGAAATCTTCTATTTTGTTCTTCTGTACGAGTTTTCAATGTAGAGGCAAGAACACCTATCAGCCGAGATGGGGCTGGTGTTTGGCTCACAAGGTTAAGCCACACACAAATTTCTCTCTCTTCAAGCATGCCGATGTCATCCCATGAATGTCGGGTCATGGAGGCCACTAGTGAGGTTATCCGCACCTATACCTCTGGTGCCAGGAGCTTTCCATGTTAACTGCAGTGGCACAAGGCAGAATAGTGCTCCATCGGAGAGATTCCAGAGTTCCAGACATCAAACAATAAAAGTTAACGCTGATTCTAGAATTTAATTGGTTTGAAATAGAGCTCCAGTTCAGAAATTAGGAAAAGAACACACAAATCACATTTCTTGATTATAACGAAGAATCAAGATCCATGGGCCTAACTTTGACCACATCGATTCATCATAGCAATGTACCCAAAGGGTTCCAGACAGAAACTGCACTATAGTTCATAGTTTTGCAGCAGTAGTAGCATTTTGGGTTCAAATCTTCTTATGGGTTGCTGACGGCTAGGCTTTTGACTTTTTAAAATTCTGCCTCTATAGAACATCTTAGAATTTGTTCTAGAATGAATTCCAGGTCCAAGATCAAAGCCAAAGGTTGTGGTTGAGGCTGTAAAATTGGCTGTTGTTCACTTTACCATCAAACACGTGATGGTAAAGTGCACAACGGCCCATACAGCCACAATGTGGCCGTGTACGGCAGTGCTGCCTTCTCTTTTGCTTCCACTGTCACCTTTTTGCTTCCATGTTGCCGATGGCTGGCTCAGATGTGGCCCAATTTGAGTAGGGTCAGTGGATTGGTCATGGTTCAGTTTCGTTGGATCACCAGTCTACCACATGACTTGTCCAGGCATGGTGCCAAATAAGTAGATCAGCACCCATGACATCCCACCTTGGGTCATAGCCTGTAAGCCATTTGTGGCAGTATATGTCGGTGCAAAATGCAGTATCAAGTGCAATGAAGATTATTCTACTTACAGCTCTTTGCGGAACTTAGGGTGTGGCCAATTTTTTTTTTCCTTTTTGAGCTGTTTTGATCATTTCAGCCAGAACAGCTGTTCTGACCTCAATTCTCAGTGTACATTTCTGAAAACTATATGAGCAGAATCACATGACAATTCCGCAGGGCATGATGTCCTCAGAATCTTTCCATACCGCCGGTAGTAATTATAATATGTTATTTTGCGTGTTTTGCAGAGATCATCTCTTGTGTCGTGATTTGAAGGTTGTGTGGGATGTTGTATGGCTCTAAAAACACTTATTTGTATGGCGGAGGGCACATCATCCTCGTAATTGAAGTATGGCACCTGGAGCGCGTGAACAGTGGACTTGAAGCTGTGAATATTCCTACAGTCTAGGCCTTATATATCTGTGTGCTCTATCCTCCAGCGAGTGAACCAATTGTCAATATTCTGCCTTTGAAGTGTTTTAGAGAGATTACATGCCTCAGATCAGCTCTGTGCATCCCCGTCCAGCAATGCAACACATCCCAATGTGATCACAAGCCCGGTCACATGCCCGAAATCGTTGTGACCAAGTCGTCTCACGGTGCTGTACAGGGAGTACAAGAGCAAATCCGAGCCATGGGACTCCTCCAGGACACTCCATAAAATGATAATGGGTGGCTTCTCAGCTCATTCAATCATAGATCACACAAATACGCAGAGCCTGAGCTGTACCTATATTCTGCTTGTTCAAGTCCACTGTTCACACCCTCCAGGCGCCATACCCCAATTACGAGGACGATGTGCCCTCTGCCATACAAATAAGTGTTTTTAGAGCCATACAACATCCCACACAACCTTCAAATCATGACACAAGAGATGATCTCCACAAAACACACAAAATAATATATTATAATTACTACCGGTGGTATGGAAAGATTCGGAGGACATCATGCCCTGCGGAATTGTTGTGTGATTCTGCTCATATAGTTTTCAGAAATATACGCTGAGAATTGAGGTCAGAACAGCTGTTCTGGCTGAAATCACTGGTTGAGCATTTCAATTTTTTCACCTTCTTTTTCAGTGAAAAATGTTGTTTATTTTTCAGACATTTTTCACTGAAAAAGAAGGTGAAATTTTTAAAACTTTTTCAGCACTTTCTCAATTCAAGGTGAAAATTCAAAATAAAATAAGAAAGTGATGAAAATGTTTTGAAATTTTCACCTGCTTTTTCAGTGAAAAATGCGTGAAAAATAAACGACATTTTTCACTGAAAAAGAAGGTGAAAATTTGAAATGTTCAACCTGTGAATGATCAAAAACAGCTCAAAAAGGAAAAAAAAAATCAGCTGCACCCTAAGTTCCGCAAAGAGCTGTAAATAAACAAATGATCTATGGAACATTACCTCTGAGTCATATAATATGTGGGAATATCTGTAGGCTTCATGCATCTGACATGAGGTGTTCACCCTTTTGGATAAGGTTACAGAACTGGATCAGTGCAACACACTAAGTAGGACTACATGACAGAGGTCTTGGGCATTTTGCTAGTATTTTATAATGAGCAGCATGTCACATTTGTGACAGTAACAACAAGATCTCATTGATGCCGAACTGGTTTGTGAAGCCACCACTTTTAAGATGTTGTAAGTCAGCCAGCCAAATTACATGAAAAAGACTATTAACATTAAAACTATGAGATATTATTCAATATTTAACATGCAAAAGATTACGGCCAAGAACACTATGACCATGAATATCAAGAATACCTAATCACTGCCCTCCAGGCCATTGCCATCACTGCCACTGCCTCCACCATTCTGGAGATCTTTGTTGTCCGAGGTGCCATGTACATCCGGTTGGCCATCAACTTCACCTTCAATTGCTGTGGCCCCAAACAAAATGAGCAAAGGCATGGATTGTGGCAGTACGCAGATCTTTTTTATGAGATTTGTGGGAAAGTGTATATGTGAAATGCTGACAGTCAATGAGTGCCTGGGCTCAGTGAGCCCAGTGATTCCAGGTGATCCGTGGTGAATTGCCTTGACACCTGAGGCAGGACTAGCATTGTTAATATCCTCAGCCAGGAATACATCAGAGAATGCAAGATCTGGATAGTGGTTAGTTGGTATGGTAGAAGAATCTTCTTATATAAAAACTCACGATTATACACAGGAATGTTCATCTTACTGGTATATGAAAAGAAAGCTTTGAGAACCCAATTTCCCAGGCAAAGCCATGCAGCCTCCACTTGTATCTGGGTTCGGTGATTGTCAACTGAAAAGGGAGAGAAGGTGCATCTAGAGCCAAATTGTCCTCTGTCAGATGGTAGAACCACTTCAGAACGTAGTGAGGACCATTGTCTGTTGAAAGCTAGCAAACAGGATCAGAAAATGAATGGAACAAAAGCGTGAAAACATGCACATCATAGGCATTCTTTATAGCCCCAGCACTGAAAGGGATATCCAGAAGTTTACCCCTCACAATCATGTCGGTATTTTCAAATTCAGGGATACCAGTCTCAGAATCAATGGTGCAGACCACTTTCTTCAGCGTAACAGGGAACCAATTGTAGACTTGTGCTGGGGCTGAAAGTGATGACATTCAGAACTGTGATCCAATTTGAGACCCTGGATAAAAGTTAATGAGGGTGTCATATGGTGCAGCAAAATCATGAACATCATACCTTGGCTATATGAAGCTTTTAGACGCTTGGTGGCAGCATGCTCGGCAGGCTCATTTAAACACTTGCTGCCTCAATTCAAGACACTTTTA